TCTCAAAGAAGAAGCTGGTATCGACGGCGTTATGGTCGATGTTTGGTGGGGAATCATTGAATCCAAAGGCCCTAAACAATACGACTGGACCGCTTACAAAACGCTATTTCAGCTAATCGCGCGTTTAGGACTCAAGATCCAAGCGATCATGTCGTTTCACCAATGCGGCGGAAACGTCGGCGACGTCGTCACGATTCCGATACCGAAATGGGTTCGCGATGTCGGCGATAGCGATCCAGATATATTCTACACTAATCGTAAAGGAACAAGAGACGTCGAGTATCTCTCGATCGGCGTCGATAATCTCCCTCTCTTCGCCGGAAGAACCGCTGTTCAGGTTTAAGCCCAATTTCAGCGTTCGCGTTTCGCGTTTTTAAATTGAAATTTAAACAGAATCGAACATTTCATCATTTAGATGTACAGTGATTACATGAGTAGCTTCAAAGAAAACATGGCGGATTTGTTAGAAACCGGCGCGATTGTTGACATTGAAGTCGGACTTGGTCCCGCCGGCGAACTTCGTTACCCTTCTTACCCACAAAGCCAAGGTTGGGTTTTTCCAGGAATCGGAGAATTTCAGGTTAATTTCGCAAATTAACATACAACACATTTTGTTTTTACGATTGTGCCCCTGAATAAAACGGTGCGTTTTGGTGGTTCCAGTGTTATGACAAGTATTTGAAGAAAGATTTCAAGGAAGCGGCGGCGAAGGCAGGCCATCCTGAGTGGGAGTTGCCGGAAGACGCCGGAGAATACAACGACAAGCCGGAGCAAACTGGGTTTTTCAGGAGTGACGGGACTTATGTCTCGGAGAAAGGGAAGTTTTTCTTGACATGGTACTCGAACAAACTCATCTTTCATGGAGATCAGATCTTAGGAGAAGCCAACAAGATCTTCGCTGGACTTAAAGTTAACTTGGCTGCCAAGGTACCACTATAAACAAATTAACATTTAGGGCTCAGATCAAATTGAAAACCAAAGCAAAACCAACTGAAACTGCATCGAACCGAACCAACCAAACTAAAATTACATCAAACCGAACAGAACGCACAGCTGAATTAAACCGGTTCCAGAGTTAACTTATCTTGCAAGGCAACTAGTTTATGAGTCTAAACTGAGTCATGTGAATGAGGTAGGTTTCGGGGATTCACTGGTTGTACAACCACCACAGTCACGCGGCGGAGCTGACTGCTGGATATTACAACCTTTTCGAGAGAGACGGTTACCGTCCGATGGCTAGGATGCTCTCAAAACACTACGGCATTCTCAACTTCACTTGCCTTGAGATGAAAGATACCGACAATGTCGCTGAAGCCCTAAGTGCTCCCCAAGAACTCGTTCAAGATGTAATAAAAAAGAGAAGAAAGTTTGTGAGTTTTCTTCGAGTTTTTGATTTGGTTTGGTAATTTAGATCGTTGGTTTAGGTATTGAGCAAAGCATGGAAAGAAGGCATAGAGGTTGCGGGTGAGAACGCATTAGAGACCTATGGAGCCAAAGGTTACAACCAGATTCTTCTTAACGCGAGGCCTAACGGGGTTAACCCGAACGGTAAACCGAAGCTGAGAATGTACGGGTTTACTTATTTACGGTTATCGGATACGGTTTTTCAAGAAAACAACTTTGAGCTGTTCAAGAAGTTGGTGAGGAAAATGCACGCTGATCAAGTAAGTACATGCATGTACACACACTTAGACTTCATATTCATGAAACTCGTGATTCTTTTTCTTATATGTTTTTGGAATGTGAACGATATATATATATATATATATATATATATAAAAGGATTACTGTGGAGACGCGGGAAAGTACGGACATGAGATGAAGCCGTTGAAAACGCAGTATTCGCAGCTGACGGTGGAGGATATCGCTGACGCGGCTAAGCCAAGCGGAGCATTCAAGTGGGACTCTGAGACCGACATGAAGGTTGATGGTTGATCCTCCCATCGTCAAACAAATTAAGGGAAAGGAAGTTATATAAAAAGGGGAAATGTTTCTTGCGTTTACAAGGCGAAATAAACGGTTTTGGTGTGTCCTGAATTGTGTGAAGTGAAGTGTTCTGGTTGAATAAAGTTAAAAGTTTGTGTGATCATAATCTATAAATAAGCTTTTGCTTGTAAGAATAGCACATTATCATCGCATCAGAGTACTCCATATGTTTCATTCGAAGTGTCGTTTCATTTTTTTCACACATATTCAATCAATAAAGTTTGCAATATCACTTTCAATTAAAACTCAACTAACTAGAAATGAAAGCTAAAATAGAAAAAATAAAATAAATTATGCATTAAAAACGTAAAATGACATTATTTTTTGTTGAAATGTTGAAATGACATTTTCTGTCAAACAGAAGAATATAATATTTCGCTGAACACTAGAAGGAAAAAAAAAAGTGTTAGGGAAACAAAAAATGCTTCAAGCAGATAAAAATGTCATAAATATAACAACTAAATGAACAATATCTGTTTAATTGATTTTGTGAACAGTTGTTTAATTCACAGTTCATCTCGTAGCAAATTATCTGTTTAGTGATGATTTTCTACCATTTTCAGTATTAAATTATTAGCAAGATTTAATGAAACTAAAACTGTATGGTAAATTCCAAGCCTAGCACAAGATTTCACTTTTAAGGTGGATGAGATTTTGAATCTTATTATAGAATGAGTTTCTAAACCTTTTTTACAATTAGTTATGAACATTGGATACTCACATTCATGTTAAAACTATTTTTTACGGATTCCTTAATTATAAGTACACTGCATTGTTTAGTGTCCGTATATTTAAAAATTGCAAGAAAAATTTACCAACCAATAAACAGCGTACTAGGTAATATAGGTAATATAAAGTAATAGTTTATAACGGTTCAACTAATGAACTTGTCCACACGTCTTACGTGGACTGATATAATTTTCAATTTTATTGTTTAAAAATTTAATAATAGTTTGAAGTCATTTTTTTCTATTATTGAATATATTTGTTTATTAAATTTCTTTACATTTTAATGTTTGAAAACATGATCGTGAAAACAATATAGAAAAATGTAGATAAAAACAAATTAGTTTTCAAATAATTTAGTTTAAATAATTTAAAATCTTTTGATCATTGTTCTATGTATTTAAGACGTAGTTTTTTGAAGTATCTTACGAACTCATTTGAAGTACCTTACAAACTCATTTGAAGAAGAAGGAAGAGTTAAACAATTTAGACAGGGTGTGGGAGAATTAGAGAGAAATCGTGTACATATTTATACTAAAACATCTGAAATGAATACAGTAATCTAGACATCACAAATACTATCATTCCATTAGACATTCTATTTATTGATTTTTAACTTTTTGTTAAACTTTTACTAAATTTTGGTTTTATAAAATTTTAGAAACAGTTTGATTTCACAGCGAAATAAAACATTAAACCATAATAATTTATACAGACTTGTCTTAAGTTATTTTTAACACATCATCAGATAAAAACCAATAAAAATAACACATAATTGGTAAATGAGGTAAAATGTATTTTTGCAGTCAAAACTCATTCTGGATTTGACACGTAAGTGAAACACCGTGAAACTCGCTGTGAGCACGACACGTAAGTAAATCACTACACAAATAAGTATGTAATAAATAAATGTTCCTAAATATATTTTTTCAATTTTTCTGATTAAATAAATTATAAGAACGAATATAAAGATGATATTATATCATATTCAATTTGCTTTCGTGTTTTATAAAAAAACTCAATTTAACTAGTCAAGCAAATCTGGTTTTATACTCGGGTGTGATTGTAATTTAAGAAAAAGAAGACTGAGGTTGACTTTTCACAATTGTAGTTAAAGTTAGGACTTAAAGAGTTTAAGACACACAATAAACCAGATTCAACAATGTTGAGTGTTAAGATTAAAAACAAAAAAAAAACCTTTTTTAGGATTGTATAATATATCACTCTTTGTACATCTTATAATTCAATAAGCTAATGTTTTGAAATCATATCGTTATTTTATTTTATTTTGCTAAAAAAATCAAACAATTTTTTTTGTCATAATATGTAGAAAAAAACCCAAAAAATCTTATATATAAAAGTTGCTCAACTCTCTCCATATGAGTGACATATCAGCATTTAAGAATTAATATGGGAATGACATGTGTTATTTTAAAAAAAATTAATTAATAAATTTTAAATGTTAAACCACTCAAAAAAAATGAAAAGTTTTTTTAGTTGATTCTTAAATAACATTTATGCAAATATTAAACAAGAATTTATGTTATAATTAATTAAAAATTGATATTTTTAATAATTTTTTGATTTTTAATGATATTATATTTTTAATTAATTGATTTATAATAAAATATTAACAAATGATGATCATATTTTTTTTAAAAAAAATTACAAAATATATAAATTTGAAATAGTTGAAGAAACAATCTATTTAAAATTACACTTTTAAAAAAGAAAATTAATTAGTAAATTTTAATTTTAAATTTTAAACTACTCAAAAAAATATCTATTAATTGATTTTTAAATAACATTTATGTAGATATTAGACAAGTATGTTATAATTAATTAAATATATTGATAGATAATTAAACAAAAATTTATGTAAATATTCTTGATTTTTAATGATACTCCTGTATTTCAAATTGATTGATTTATAATAATATACTAATATATAACAAATAATGTTTATATTTTTTAAAAAAATATAAAAATATATAAATTTGAATAGTTGAAGAAAAAAATCTGCACCGTTACGTGCGGATATTCACCTAGTGTTATTAATAAGCGTAGTGTATTTTCAATAGAACAGCTTAAGAGAGCTAAACCAAATTAACAAACACAGAAAATCATCTTCGGTTTCTGTTACTCACAAGTCACAACATCTAAAAAAAGCTTCCATTAGAAAAAAAAAAAAAAATCCTGAAACAGAGCATCTCTTTCGTTTTCGAAATTTTGCTTCCAATTTTTTTTTTTAATTTTTTTTCCTCATTTAGTCATTTTCTCCGCTTGTGGTTGCGATTGTTCGGCGCCGTGAAAAAGCGTTCGGACGTGATCGGAGCTTTTTCTGCATGGCGGTTTGCTTCCGAGGAAGTACGGCAAGGAGATCGAGCTCTGCGAATTTCGCCGTCGTTTAATTTTAATTTTTCTCCTCCAGGATTCTGTAAACGGAAGCGATCTTCTTCTTCGAGTGATTCCCGTGAGATGAGAAACGGAGGTTAATGGGGAGATTGAGAACAGCTTTTCTGGCGATCTCTCTCGTTGTTTTTGTTTGTGTTTCTGAGGAGATTATCGCTCGTGACGGAGCCAATTGCTTTCGATTCTCCGTCTCCGGCGATGCTCACGGTGGCGATGTGGTAAATTCATTGTCGTTTGCTTTCGTTATGATACAAATCCAGAAAATGTATGAACCTATTTTTTGAAGCTGATTTTGTTTTGACGAACATCTGATTTCTGATAGGCAGAGCAAACATGGATTCATTGTAGAAAAGAATTGAAAGATAAGAAGAAAGATTGTCTTCTCTATATCCCTCGTGAAGATGAGTACCTGAGACTATCCATCTTAAACGGACAGAACATTCAGCAAATCCCGGTAGAGATCGGTTATCGGCATTGGTTCAGCAATTGGTTTAGCCCTCTCCGCGATTCTACAACAAGAAGGAAACTGATCAGTAACGCAAAGAAGAAGTTTAGAGTATCTGCTCCAAATTTCGAACTTGGTCCTGCACCAGTTTTCGCACCCGGTTTAGCGCCAGGTCCTGCTCCCGGTTTAGCTCCTGGTCCTGCTCCAACACCTCAGAGTTATGATCTTGTGGCACCTGCAAGCTCTCCATCTCAAGCTGAATCACCGGCGGAATCAAAACCGGTTCCGAGTAAGAGGAAACCGAATGTTGCTCCTAGTCAAAGTGTTCCAGGTCCTCCTCCTCCACCACCACCACCGGCGAAGAAGAATGATATCTTGAAGGAACTTATCATCGCCGTTGCTTCAACAGCTGTGTTAACGTTCTTTCTCGTTGCGTTGCTGTTCTTGTGTTGCTTCAAACGCAGTAATCGCAACAACGCGGTTGGTCCTAGATTTGGACCAAGAGACGAAGGACCACTCTTACATTTAGCTGACTTATCAACTGGTATGAATATGATGATGCTTTTGTCTAAAAGGTTCAAGTTATTCTTCTTTTCTAGCTCCAAAACTCACTCTTTTTCACTCTTTTGCAGGATCTAATGAGAACTCACCCACCGTTGCAAGCACGAGCAGGAAATTTTTCAGCGCTAGTTCAAAAAAGAGGTCTTTTCTTTCTAGAGTGTCTTTAAAGAGAAATGGTCATGAGTTCTCAACAGCTGATGTGTCGTTGTCTTCATCAGCTGGACTTCCTCCATTGAAGCTTCCCCCTGGAAGATCAGCTCCTCCTCCGCCTCCACCTCCACAGCCTCCACCTCCACAGCCTCCACCTCCACAGCCACCACCACCACCTCCTCCTCCTAAACCTCAGCCTCCTCCGCCTCCTAAACTTGTTCGTCCTCCACCTGCACCACCAAAAGGTCTGGCTACAAAACGCCAAGGACGTAGTTCCTCTGGAGATGGATCTGATGTTGATTCTGAGACTGGAGCTCCAAAAACCAAACTCAAACCGTTTTTCTGGGATAAAATGGCTAACCCTGATCAGAAAATGGTTTGGCATGAGATCAGCGCCGGTTCATTCCAGTAAGAGCTTAGTTTTTGAGTCTTGTAAACTCTTTAACTTTTGTGTCCTTGGCTTACCTAACTTCGTGTTCTGCTTTCAGGTTCAACGAAGAGGCGATGGAGTCTCTGTTCGGTTACAACGATGGGAATAAAAAGGGTCAAAGGGGAGATTCATCTCGAGATTCTCCTGTCCAATATATACAGATAATTGACCCAAGGAAAGCACAAAACTTATCTATTCTTCTTCGAGCTTTGAATGTAACAACAGAGGAAGTCGTCGATGCCATCAAAGAAGGTAAAATGTCGTCTCTTTCTTCTTCTTCTCTCTAACTTCCTTTGCGATTAGGACTGAATGTGAGTGATTTCTTTTCTGTTCATAAGGTAACGAGCTCCCAGTGGAGCTCTTACAAACATTGCTGAAGATGGCTCCAACTTCGGAAGAAGAACTCAAACTTAGACTATACTCAGGAGATCTTCACCTACTTGGCCCCGCAGAGAGATTCCTGAAAATTCTTGTCGACATACCTTTCGCATTCAAACGTATAGAGTCGCTTCTATTCATGACCTCACTACAAGAAGAAGTCTCTGGCATCAAAGAATCTCTCGCAACTCTCGAGGTAAACTCAACTAAACACAAAGACCCTTAAAACCAAGAACCTACACATCACTTACATATGCAAACCTCTCTTGTCTCCAGGTGGCTTGTAAGAAACTTAGAAACAGCAGACTGTTCCTAAAACTACTAGAAGCAGTTCTCAAGACAGGAAACCGAATGAACGTAGGAACATTCCGAGGAGACGCGCAGGCTTTCAAGCTCGACACGCTCTTGAAACTCTCTGACGTCAAAGGAACCGATGGCAAAACCACACTCTTACACTTTGTTGTTCTTGAGATCATCCGATCCGAAGGCGTTCGTGCTCTCCGCCTCCAGAGATCATCTCGTAGCTTCTCAAGCGTCAAAACAGACGACACTAACAACTCAGATTCAAGCCCACAATCAGTCGAGCGTTACAGAAGCACGGGGCTTCAAGTGGTTTCAGGGTTAGCCACAGAGCTCGAAGATGTCAAGAGAGCAGCAATCATAGACGCTGATGGATTGGCTTCAACGTTGACGAATCTGAGTGGTTCTCTTACGAACGCGAGGGAGTTTCTGAAGACGATGGAGGAAGAGAGCGATTTCGAGAGGGCTTTAGCTGGGTTTATAGAAAGAGCTGATGCTGATATCAAATGGTTGAAGGAAGAAGAAGAGAGGATCATGGCTTTAGTGAAAAGCTCTGCTGATTCTTTCCATGGGAAATCGGCCAAGAGCGAAGGGCTTCGTTTGTTCGCTATCGTGCGTGATTTCTTGATAATGCTGGAGAGAGTTTGTAGAGAAGTTAAGGAAACGACGAAGACGACGAACCGTTCGGGTAAGAAGGAGAGCGAGATGATGAATCCGGAGAGTAATCAACCGTCGCCGGATAATATTCGACAGCGTTTGTTTCCGGCGATTGCTGAACGGAGAGTTGATAGTTCCGATGATTCAGATGATGACGAGAGTAGTTCATCTTAGTTTTTGATTTTTCCGGTTAAATTTGAGGTTGATGACGCTGTTTGGGAGGAGATTGATCGCCGGGAACCTAGAAATGAAGAGAAGGAGGAAGCCGGGAAATTTTATGTTTGACTTAAAGGCGTGGAAATGGCTTCTCCGTTGACCAGTAAGTTGTTAGCTAATTTGAAGACCAAATTCCTATTTTTTTATATATAAATCTTACATATATATTCGTATATTTGTATTACTATTTCGTTATTTGTGAACTAAAAAGATAGATACGCATTTTTTTAGATGTCTATGGAAAACAAAAAAGTTTTATGTTTGACAAGAACTATGTTCCTTTTTAGTTAGAAAAATTAGATTTGTTTGGTAATTTTGGTCTAAATCTTCTATGGCCTCTGCCTTCTGCACCTTTTCAGATCAAACCAAACTAAAATTAAACCTGTTTTTAGATCTTGTTGACTTGTGGTATCGAATTGGAGTTGGTTGGCAAATACCAAGCTTTTTCACGGTGAAGACAAATGATGTTACATGCTAACAAATATTTCGGAGATTTTCAGTTAGCAATATTTATTCTACGTTCATTATGGCACAAAGATTGATTACAAGTAAGTGGTGATTAATGAAGACCGAGTTTCTATCAGCAAAAGACAAACAAGTAACAAACAACATCTATTTATACTCATGTTCTTTTTCTCCTCTTTCCTTTTTTTTTGTGCCAAGCTTTGATAGATTTTAGGAACAAGAACACGAGAACTATTATTACTGAGGTAACAAAAAAAGAAGAAGAGATACAACCTAGTCAAATGATTCTCCTCTCTGAAAATTATGTGAGCCTAATCTAACGAGAGTAACAATAACCCAAAGTTATTGCCAATTTTCCAAAATCACATATATGGCAGAACCTATACACAAGAATGTGGGGGAAAGCTGAGGCTCACTTGCTTTGGTCATGGATATAATAGACTATTTATAGTAACTGTGTCTGTTGCCCTGGCTGCTCGCTTTCCCAAAAGGGGAAACCTTCTGAATATTATAAAGTTTCCCCCTCTTTACCTAACTATCCCATGTCGCTTGAAAGACATGTCTTCTGTTTCTTAGCCACTGCAACAGTTCTCTATCTAGTGACGAGTTATTCATGACGGCATCGAACATCGGGCTTCCAAATACTCCCGGTGAGCTTTTGAACATCCATATCTTATCCTTTGCCCACGGTTTTTGAGGCTGCTTAGACTGTACTCAAGAGATAAAATAACCATGTCATGGACAGTGAAGACAAATTGAAATACATTGTCAGAAGTGGGTCAAGTCAGAAATTACCATCTGTGAAACCATTGTCTTCACCGTCTTTGGGCCATAAACACGATGCTTCGATGGTTTCTGGGCCTTTGCGTAGAAGGAAGCAACCTCGGGTAAAGACAAGCAACCTCTGGTTGCTTTCACCAGTGTAAGATCTGGATCAGTATTCGTCTGTTCGTACCAGTAAATTAGCTGCCCGAGACAATAGTTCTCGCCATAAGTCTTCCGGTACTCCTTTATACCCTCACCTAACTTGTCAGCATACTTGGCTCCCAAATCTAACGGGCTAATGTATACAGGAGAAGAGATAAAGGACTTGTATTCCTGCGACATATCAAGACACATCTGTCAGAAGAAGTTCAACGAGATTTTGTTCGTTTACTGTCTCCTAAATTATACGAAAGAACTTACCCGAACTTTGAAAAAGCACTTTGTATAGGCATAAATGTGAATTAAATCAGCTGCAGCATCATTCCGACACTTGTATGTACAAGGGAGATCTCGGATCTCATCTCTCAACCTTCGTGGAAAAATATTGTGAGATGTGAGACTGTTTCCTAAAAGAGTTTCAAGAAATAAAACAATATGATAGATGTACACTCACCAAAGTAATGATCGCTGAAGTTCCTTAGGGACATCAGCAGATCCAGATGGATCATGGGCACGAATCTTGGATTTGAGTTCATTAAGAATGCCTTCTTCCACGTGCGGTGACAGGCACTGAAGAAGCTCATCAACTAAAGAGCCATCCCCGTTCCATAAAAAAGAGACTGTTTCTTCAGGAGTAAGCCTCTCCAGCGGAGGAGGAGCGTTCTTTGGATCCCCAAACACACGTCTCATAACATATCTTACCTGTGTGTAAAACACTAATCAGAGACTAACTTCGACTGGGAAAAACATTTTACAAACTTACACACAAAAATGTGAAAGGCAAAGCAGATAACACTATGTTTGTTTTCATGAAGAGATATTGCAGATACCTTGTCAAGTGTAACAGCCAGATTTTGAAGCCTCTGATTGTAGACACCCTCAGCCTGTCTCATCAAAGTTACAGATATAATAAGCATATAAGAGTTCCGAGGCACAAAAGATATGAACTATTGAAAAACCCGCAAAAGCTAAAAAAGAGTGATAGCCTCACCTGAACTTCAGCATCACTTTTCTCAACATCAAGGTGTATATCTGAGAAATATTTTCTCTTTTCTTCCAGATTATGCTTAAGAATTTCCTCTGGAAGCTTAGTTCTCTCGAAATTGATGAACCGCACCTTTATGCACAAGAAACATTCGGTCAGAAGTTGTAATCCCATCATTAGTGCTGCGACAAACTAACATAAAGTGATTCAAGACTAACCAGACGAGCAGAATACGCAACCACCCAATCTGGCAGCCCACCGAGCAAACAACTTCCCAGTCCAGCTCTTCCCAACTCAAGATAATCTTCTTCTGAAACTGAATTTAGTATACAAGCTTCTAGCATCAGTCTGTGTCGATCCAGCAGACCATGCCATTCCTTCAACACCTGATACAAATATGGTTCAGAAAATTAAATCGACAATCGAGGGACAAGAGAAAAGATTTATTAAACTTTGGTACAAAAAACTAATTACTCCTAAGTGAACAAGCATACAGCGGACATGTAGCCCTTTTAAAATCCATTAACGGAGTCAATGTCAGTACTCTCACGTATCTTTGATACCAGTAATATAATCATATATCTGTTAACAGCGCAAGTACCTTCTGAAATGCACCTTCACCAGTGAGATTCAAGTAGCTGCCTCGGCATACTTGGCTACCACACAAGCAAACAGACGCTTCATATTCTTCCTTACTCTGTTGCAGACATAAGTATTATTCTTTAGACAATGGAATGGAAACATACAGATTAACCCAACGAAATAATACTTTCCTACAGTAGGAACTGGATAAGAAGGGAGAGGGAGGAGCATACCTCAGTTACAGAATTATAATCAAACGTTATCTCCTCGCCATATTCAATAGAACGTACTGAATAGATGCCAATCTGGTAGTGTCCATCCACCGAAGTAACCCTGGAAGCACCAGATGACAATGAATGAGTGAACTTGTTTATAACTTTTTAGATATGAAGACAGTCAAGCTTCAGGGGTTCTCCATTCCGATTGTTAAAAAATGAATGTATGCATAAGTAAAAGAACGAGATTACCAATTGCGTATGAGCAGAGCAGATACAATCATAAGCAAATGTTGGTAAGTGTATCCAGACAAATTTATAAATAATCAATTGATATATGTGTGTAATTATCTGAACATACTTAGGCAGGCTAGTTTATGCATGCATCGTGTATGAAACTAATTGTAACAACTGTCACTAGGTTCTGCTCTCTGAATCCAATATTCTGGAGGAATTGGATGATTGCAGAGGGGGAGAATTTAACTTACTTTGCTTCACAGTTAGGTCGACAAGAGTGACAAATTCGACTTGCATAATTAGCCTTGTGCATGGCATCAACAACAACTAAATCATATCCATCGGCATCACCCTGCCATGTAACATAAAAAGTAAGAAAATGGTCTTATAATATTAAGTACAAGTCCAAGCATCATATTTTCTTCATACCTTTGGTCTCTCAAGATATATATTGTAGAACTCTGGTGCAGGATCAGTTTTGTTTTCCTGCAAGGAACGAATTCCATCTTGCTTCTCGAACCACTTCCAAACAGGATAAACCTACAATATCCAAAACAAGTCAGCATCAACGTTCAGAGCTACCTTTAAGAGAATGTTTCAATATCTAAACACAGCACGCCCAGTGAATTTCAGAAATTGTTTCTGATGCAGCTGAGTAACTAACAAACATAAAACTGCAAAGCTGCAGACCCACCTCTCCAAGAAATTCAACAACAAAATCTTCTTCTACAAAACCACCTTGTTTGTTGCACACAACACCGAGGCCCTACTTGGACAAAAAAAATAGCAACAAAGCCGATTAGCCAAAAAGTCCTAAAAAATATAGATGGATTCCCATAAAAGAATAACAAAGCCATACCTTCCGATAAGAAACATAATTATCATCAGAACGACTTTCTATAGCTTTTAAGACGCCTTGACACATCCTCAGTGTTCGTATATCACACTCTTCACGAGCACTCTCTTTGAGCTCTTCAATCACAGGCCTTAGAGGGAATACCATGGGGGTGTTTCCAGTTCCAGTGAATAACCTAGCTTGTCTGTTCAGGGTACGTAAGACTACATCTTCTATAAATGAATGTTTATCCTGCAGTGACCAATCCAAGTCTCCGGGCATAGAATCAAGTAAGAGGTTATGGGTGTAAGGATCGATTCCATAGACCTCTTGCTCTAAAACCTCATCGCCAAGAAGCTTTCTTGGTTTATACTCCTTGACTTCAGGTAGTTCCATATCTAACTCTTCTGTGCCATTTTTTTGTGCATTAAGCTTCTCACCATAGTCCTCTGGCAAAGAAACTCGCATCTTCCGTTGTACCTCCTCCTCGTCCGCGACAATTGCGTACGCTTCAATTACTTCATATTTCCTAGTGACTGGTGGCACAAGACTAGCTTTCGTCATACGTGCACCCCATTCACGCTCTTCGGTCATAGAATCAAAAGATTCGTCTGCCGTGAAGTATCTTTCGACGCGTAAGTCCTGTGATCGACCTTCTGAACGGATATCTGATTCACTTTCTGATGCTGAACTATAATTGTCACTCTTGCCATTGTCAGAGAGCTCGGACGATGTTTCACTTCCCGAACCAAACGATTTACGATTCAGTTTAGACAAACGCCTTTTGATTTCTCGGTCAGATGCATATTCTCCGTAGTCCAAAGCACCATTTACACCAAATGCATCACTAGTCCTGCTCATGTACTTCTTCTCAGTTACTGTTTTGCTCAACTTCTTGTTGTACTTAGAGGCTGATGAGAGCCCTGAGCCATCTTGCCATGACTTCATTAATTCATCTCTTCTATATGAAGAGGTGACCGTAGAGACCTCTTCCAAACGGGTGGCAAGTTGAATAAACAATTCGATGATTCGGTTCATGTCTTTGGAGCCTCCCCGATTCCTCCCTCTGGATACATAAGATAAAATCAGAAGAAAAATTACAAAACAAGTAGCAAGGAAATTAAATAAATAGCTCCTACTTTGTTTACAACAGATTACCTCCTACTTAAGAACTAAGAGTTTAGGGAAGCAAATATTCAACATCAAGGCATAAATGTTAGAAATAAGTAATCCTACAGCCTAACAAACCGAGGGAGCACATGGCAGGAAACCGCTTATTGACTTGAGAAATTATAATAACCCAGAGAGACCATCCGCAATCATTTTATAATTTGCAAGATAAAAGATTTGGAGTATTATTGGCAAATCATGTACAAAAAAAAAGTAGCCATCATATCAAACAAAGAAGAAGGAAGCCATACTTCATTGCTTCCCTGCACATCCGGCTAATATCCTCCTTGACAGATCTCAAACCATGACTAACGTAGTAACCGTTTTTCATCTTATCTTCAATTTGAGCAACCTGGTAACCAAAAATACATAAGCCTAATTTTTAACAGATGAAAAATAAATGATTGCAAACACGAATACCAGAAAGCACCTTTAAAGCAAAGAAGTCAAAAGTATTCTGTTTCATGATGCCCCTAAGGCTTGAAGCAAGGAAATCTTCCACTCGCTTATACCCGTGTTCTGACTTTTTAATCGCCCATCGCCTGATACGAGCATCCCTGGATAGAATCGCCGATGATCTCCTTGCATCATACAATTTTGAGCGTTTGTATAAGCTTCTTCGGAATAACTGATTGGCTGAGTCTCGCTTTTCGACTCGATCAAAGTAATCCTTGAGGTTACCAAAATCATCTGTATCGCCCACTAAGCCCTTCGACTTAGCAACATCTGTATTCTGTTTCAGACTCCTTAATCTGGAATGTAATTCACCTGGTTGAGGATGCTGGCATCTGAGCCAACTTACGTTTTTATAGTTCAATGTCAAATCTCCAAACTGGGAGCAGCCTGTGATGTCTACAGAAGATATATGGGGAAATAAACGAAGAATTTCTTCAAGCATGCTGGAAGACACGTCTGTACAACCAACCAATATTATAGAGTCTATCTTCTCCGTGTTGTAAGTGTTCTGCAAGAGAATGTCATGTCAGATCAACGAAAATACTAAATTGATCAAATGCTATAAACGGAAAGGGCAGAATGTTCACCATGATACTCCAGAGCCTAGAATCTGTGCATTTGGGACCCAAAGAAGATAAGTCAACTTGTCTTGAAATATCCTTGTATGAATTGACAGTGGCCTTCCAATGTCTACAAGTCATGGAAGCCAATGCAAGTGATTTTACATCATATCTCAACAAATGAAACACCCGTGCTAATACATGACCATCCAACAGACCCCAGTAAATTCCCACGGTGCCAGAAGATCCACTTCCTTCAACATGGAAGGTAGCGTCCCCACATAAATCCTCAAATGCCAACTCATCCTTCTGAAACATTTGCGCATCTTTCACTTCAGAATCTTCTCCACTTTCACCAGCTGTCAATCGAGCTCTTTTCGTATAGCACGAATCAAATTCTGAGGTTGATGAACCAAAAACACGGAGAGGAGAGAATAAATATTTCAAACATTTAAAAGCAGGAATTGAACATTGGTATAACCCGAAGGAAATGAAAGAAAAGAAGGATATAGACACCCAAGTTCAGAAACCGAGAATGACTTGAAGAAAAATGAGCAAGAAAAAAGCATGATTTAATATGATGAACGGGATGGCATTTAAATTCTGGTAGTTATCAATACCTGAAGAGGGGTACATGTACTTGTCAGTCTCTTTCTTTGGCTGTCTTGCATGGATCCAAGAGTCTAATACATCGTTTATGGCAGCAGAAAACTCCCGACTCTTGAATGTTTTCATAACCAATTGATGCAGTTTCCCACGGAAATAACCAAGAAACTGAGGGTGCATTCCATGGAACGAGCTTAGACTTGTGTCCATTTCAGAATGCTTGAAATCCTGCGACTCTGAGACAACAAGGCCTTGAGAATCTGAAGACAGAGCTGGTGTTTTCACCTGAAGCTTGGCAATGGTTTCAGGAGCTTTTGTGATAGACGTAACAGGGACCCAGATTTTATCAGATTTTCTAAAGACACTACTGTGGCTCTTTATGAAACCTTTATCCACCAATATCTGGAGTTCCGAAAATGGCAGAGGTCCTTGTTCTTGCCCAGCACCATCCATGTAGAACCAATCACCTAAATGCAATTGCAAATCATCGACTGTACACAGACGATCCCTAGGGGTGTTAACAGAGTTTTCGGTTTTCCAAAATCCCTCCAAATCTTGACTACCGCAAGCTGTTGATTGAGAATGACTTTCGACTGATTCCCTCTTGGAATCACTAGATGCAGGGGATGGACGAGCAGGCCTTGAAGAGCACTTTTCCCTACCACGAACTTTTACACGAGGATCAGGAACTGATGAAACTTGATCATTAATGACCAATGAGTTAAGCCTGACTACAGACAGAACACTAGCCTTTACTCCCCTCGCCTGATTTCTCTCATCTACACCAGAAAAAGCCCACAGGGGAAGTTCAAGCCTAGAGCTACAGAGAGGATAATATAAATCTTCCTTGTGCTGCCACCGAGGATCCTCATTACCAGACTTCTGCATCAGGCACAATGGGAAACCATCATTCAGAACCATTTTCTTTTTGTAATATCCATCTTGAGAAGCTTCATCGTTTCTTATCCAGTCCCCGCCTTTGCAAGACCAACGACCTGAAAACCAGCTGCCTGTCTCATCGTTCTCAAAACTATCAACATTGTCTGACTGAAACTCTTCGATCGCCTTTGTTGTGAGCTCGGAACCTTCCGACAACTCCTCATCCAATAGATCCCACGGTTTGTCCATTGGATGGCGACACCATGTGATATCTGCAAAATCAAATAAAGCTTCTAAATAGTGTCATGGAAAAATGTGGGAATGAAACTGCCAGAAAGGAACAGAAGCAAACAGAAAGTTTTTTAACATGCTACAACAAAAGTGCAAGTGGTGCCCACGAAACACACCTTCAGAAGGCACAAACTTTCCAATCTCTTCAAGCTCAACTTTAACCTGCAGAGCTTCTGCAAAGTCATATAAATAAGCTTATCTTAGGTATGCAATAACAATAAAGTAAATATATAAAGAATATGCTCCAGATATCTGCTCGCAATTTGGGCTGAAAAAACATCAAATATGTGGCCAGAAAGATAATAAATGTACATTTGTTACAGTACCTCCAAGTGTTTCATATTCCCTGCCAGGGGTGATAGTAGAACCCTCCACGAGACTCGCGATCCTCTTATCAATCTGGAAATTTTCATAATGTTCTACTAAAAGTTCATTAGAATCTAGCATGGACACTGAATCAGGCAACGAATCTCCAGCTTCTTGCTCCATAGAAACTGCTTCGCCAGCATCTGCAGTGTCTTCTAATAAATTACCAGGCGCTTCAGGGGGATTGACGAGCTGTGTCACTGCATCTGACACGACCGACGGAAAATTCATGTTCATCACAGGAGATGTTGCGTTTTCAATAGTGACCCACCTATTCTTATCTGAATGTTTAATCATATGATCAGAGAAAAGAATGCCTTGCTCCATAAGAGCTTTGAGCTCGGATAATTTTGCAGGCCCATGTTCCATGCCATAGTAATCAAGATAAAACCACTTCCCCGTGGATGAGTCAACAGCCATAGGCTCATGAGGTGGTGTGTCACAAATGTCCATATCTACCTCCATTGATGGCAACTCTTCGGTAGAGGCTTCACAACCTTGCACAGACTCTTTTCCCTTTCCAGACGGACTTGGAATCTTGGATGGATAACAGACAGAATTTTTCTCAACCACCGGTTTATTGTTGTACAAAGTGTTTTTACCTTGCAATTCTTTGCTTGATGAGGTCGACTCTTTTCCATTAGAATCCTTATTTCTGTGCTTATTCTCAAGCTCCATACCAGTCTGAGAATCCCTCCGCTCCCTTACTCCACTTTTTCTACTTATTTCTCTGTAGCCATTACGCCTGTTACGATCGCTTTGGGGATCTTCCATATAATTAGGAGTGCAGTCCCTGCGATCACTGGGCCTAGAGCGATCATGAGGTGACCACTCAGAGTAACTTGGACTTCTTCTATAATCATGGTGACGGCTGAGGTCACGTGGAGACCTTTTACGAGCATGTGAAGCCTTCTCAAAGACGTATGGCGATCTCTCCCGGGTATATGGAGACCTCTCCTGATGGACAGGACTTCTATCCCTGTATTCATGGTATCTAGACCGGTCGTGTGGGGACCGGTCCGACCGTACAGGGCTGTGTCCATGTCTGTCTGAGAAAGCCCTGGCAGGAAAAGATGAGTCTTGATGCTTTCTAGGATACTTTTCCAGAGATGACGTTTTAGATGAATATGAATCTTTGTACAGTCTCTCAACAGAGTGACGTGAATAGTGGTCTGAGTGAAGAGAGCGGGAATAATCATCAGAAATTTTTCTACATTTGGAGCTCCCATAATCCCCATAATCAGCATAGGAGTGTTTGCGCTCAATGCTACCTGGTTCAGCTCCATGTCGCTTCAATTTGTTCACAGTAGAAGAGTACTCCTTTACAAGATTATTGGGATTGTTGTGTTCGTTCTTATCATCTATTACAATTTTAGAACTGATCCTTGAACCCCTGTCGTTACCACTTCTGAAGTCTCTCCGGCGATAGCTATCCTCATTCGCAAACCTTCCACCGGGCGGGGTACGTTCATATTCATATTCATATTTCCACGTTTTCTCTCTGTCTACTCCATTCCTACGAGATCTGTTGTAGCTATGATCATCCTTTACAGAATCCATCTTATGCCATCTGTCTGGGATGAACTCCCCTTTCTCAATTTCGTCACTGGGATCTCTCCATGATCTGAATTCTCTCTCTTCTTTATCACCTTTCCTGTACTTATCTGCGGAAAAATCCCTTCTCTCCACATACCCTTTATGATATTGCAGGTAACCCAACTCCCCCTTCGTAGTTTCATCTTTCTTCCAACTCTCCCCAACGATCTCACCCTTTTCGATCTCACTCCTCTGCAATGGCTTCACTGGCGCGATTTCACCGTTCTCCAAATCCCCAACCAAATCCCCATGAGGCTTTAACGTACCTAATTCACCTTCTTCCACTTCATCCTTAAGCCCAGAGTCTCCACCGTTTTCCACTTCTTTATTAACATTAGTTCCTCCTTTCCCCTGCAGAGATTCACTCTTCTCATCCTGCGCTTTCGTCTGCAGCTGTGATTCTCCAGTGAGTGGCAATACCTGCGGCGTCTGCTCTTTCAACTGCTCCTCTGATTGTTTCTGTGGTTGTTTCTGCGGCTGCTTCGGCTTCCTCACGACCACTTTACGAATTACCTTAACGATTCTCTTCTTCTTAGTTGGCTGAGACGCTGAGGGTTTAGCTGGCTGAGACTCAGGGAGCTTAGTTGAGATGGATGTGTGACCATTCTCCGAAGTACCAACACTCTTGGTATCATTGTTGCCTCCACAAAGCGTCTTCTCCACAATTGGAAGCTTTTCCATGATATTCACCAGAGGCATGCATGCGACACCCCCATCGCTCATGGAAACCCAACCAATTTCTCTCTACCCAAAGCTTCCCTAATCTCCCCCTTTTCCGGGAATATCAATACTCATGCTTCAGAATCCACCGCCAAGTTTGTCGCCGTTCCTGCAACACACAAGAGGAGAACAAAAAAAACACCGAAAAAGCAATCAGTGACAAAACTGAATGTAGGGTTTTCCCCAGCTGAAATTACCCAACGCAGCGAAAGGGGAAGAAGGGAAAATCTCAAAACCCTACAGGTACGAATTGATGAAATAGAAGAGACGAGGAGACGCGAAAACAACGAATTGAAGCGGGAATTTACCGGGGGTAATAAGAAAACCTAGAGAAACGGATCAAGAGCCCTCGAATGGAGCTGGGAGGAAGATGAATGAACGTGAAAAAGAAGGAAAATTTCTCAAGAATAAGAGGACAGATCGAGGTCAAAGAAGCCAAATCGAGAAGAAAACCCTAGAAGCTCTCACTGAAATCTTTATTTATCTGTTCCCGTTTCGCCGGGAAATCTCTGTGGCCGCGCGTTTCTTCTCTCTGCGACCTTCGCTTCTCTTCTGTATCGTTGTGTTCTCTCTCTCTCTCTCCGTTATGTTTTCTGAAAGAAGAAGCCGTCGTCGTGTTAATATTTTTTTCTGTATATTTATTTTCCTTACTGGGAAATTTTTTTTTTCTCAATCTTTCTGATTTTCTCACATTATTAAAATAGAGAAATGGCAATTAAAAAAATTAAGGAAGATTTCGTTTAGTAATCTAAGTTTTTTTATATACTTAAAAACTAACTCCATGTCCTCAAATTCTGTTGAAAACCAACATTTTTATAAGTAATGAAACAATAATTATAAGAAACTTGAAATAGATTAGATAAAACATCAATTACTATTAGTTTAGATGGTCTCAATATACCACAGAGTGTATATTGTATTTGTATTGCTCTTGTAGTTACCCGTCGAAGAAGATGTGTTACCTTTGTCAAACTAAAAAACGACTAAAACCTGTCATGATTGTGCATGAGTTCTACTATCACTCGACTATACATTAGTTGATATTCCACATTTTCTCACGTTCATTATTTTTGGAGATCTAAAGCGACAATTTTGCTTGTAAATAACACAGTACTATTCAAGATATTAGACATAGAATAAATCTTCAAAATAAATTTAAAACAAGCTAATGAATAAACAAGTCATCATCATTGTACACATATTACAAAGCAGAAAAAATGAACAATTTTTAATCTCTCTTTATTAGAGATTAATCTGAGGAAAAGAAACATTATATAACGTGAACACAATCCATAATTTAACATCTTTTTTTTAGTTGATCACATGAAATGATATCATATTTTCTTTATTTTAAATATATTTTATAATAGAGACACCCAATAATAGTACAATTCGATTTTCAAAGAAGAGTTTATTAAAGATATCTTACGAATTCTAAATTTAAAAACATAATTTGGTTCCAAATACATAAGTTTTTTAGCATACTTTTACAAAAATTTCAAAAATAAATAGATAGGATAACAAAAATATTAATCGGAGAATTTAGAATTAATGAGATTTTTTAGCTTATATTTTTATTTAAATATTAAAAATATGTGAATGTTATAATATAAATATCTATATTATCAAATTAACTTCTATTTTCAAATATATGATTGTGTTATTTCTACGGGGTTAGATTACAACCACTTAGTATTATTATTTAAATACTAATCAGAAATTTTAAATTTTCAAAAATAAAATAGATAGGATAACAAAAATAGTAATCAAAGAAATTAAAATTAATGAGATTTTTTTAGTTTATGTTTTTTATTTAAATATTAAAAATACATGAATGTTATAATATAAATATCTATATTATCAAATTAACTTCCATTTTTCTATAAATATGTGATTGTGTTACTTTTACGGGGTTAGATTATAACCACTTAGTATTATTACTTAAATATTAATCGAAGAATTTAGAATTTCAAAATTAAATAGATATAATAACAAAAATAGTAATCGGATAATTTAGAATTAATAAGATTTTGATTTTTTATTTTTTATTTAAATGTTAAAATGCGTGAATGTTAGAATATAAATATTTATATTATCAAATTAACTTCCATTTTTATATAAATATGTGATTGTGTTACTTCTACGGGGCTAGATTACAACCACTTAGTATTGTTGCTTAAATATAACTTTTCTATAAATCAACACTAAAAATATATTTTTGGATCGGATTCTATAATGGTTTAAATTACTTAACGAACAAGATTTTATATCATATAGATCTGAGTTAACAGTATTATGAGTCTATGATTGAGATTAAGTGCTTTAAACTTAAATATAATCCATAGTTAAGATCTGATAAATTTTTATACTCTTATAATATTTTTGATACGATTCAATTTTTTGATATTAATATAAATATTTAAGTTCACTCGTATGAGTTTTCAAATTTAAAACTAGGATTAGGTATAAATATTGAAAAACCAACTACCCGAAATAAAGTTTGGTCAATTTAATATAATTTTCATTTTAAGTTAAAAATTTATATATTTTTAATCGGTTTGGTAAAAATGAACCAATTGTTTTACCCACTTTTAAATTTTTTTTTTATTTTCTGATATTTTTCAAAATATTTGTCATAAAAATATTTTTGAACCAAATCCTGAAAATTCTAACGAAATTAAATATTTCTAATTTTTCAAATACATAATGAAATTATTGAAAATGAGGATTTCAATAATTATCAAATCTAGCACCTTTTGTAGCAACAAATTTTTTGATCAAATCTACAAAATTTTAAGTCTGTCCATACTGTATATGTATCACCATACAAAAAAAAATAATAAGAAATATTTACTTAGTAAATTTATCGAATTAGTTGCTCATACGTAAATTAGAAGTTTTTTCCGTCAATACTATTTCTTTTTTACATGCGACAAAATGGCATACTATCATTTCATTTACCTCGTTGTAGGAGTAGGAGTAGGACTATAGCCCAAAAGTAAGGTTAATTCAGACATTTTACTAATGAAATATCCATTTGGCGCTCAACATATACGGTTTGAGCGGTAACAATTTCACCGTTGATAAACAGACAACAAGACTCTTGTTTAATCAAACGCGGTGTGTGTGAAGCTTAAAAGAGATTGTCATTCTATTGTGGGCTTCCTAATGGGCCCGTTGGTGATTACTTGCTCTATTTCTTTTATTGAATAACCTCTTAACTTTATTCCAAAAGCTGAGAAAAATCTAAAATTTTTGACAAAAAGAACTATACCATTCTTTAAATTTACTCGTTACATCACAAAATCAAAACTAATCCATTTGATAAACTGATGTAAAGACAAACAAGATTGCAGAATTAAAAGTTCTCAGATTCGATTCATAACAACATATAAATAAACATTTAACGCATAAAGATCGTCAGTCATATGTATCATGACATAAACCAGAGTGGTCACTGATTCTGAGACGATATCTTCAAATCCAAAGGAAAAGAAAGCAGATGGTGAGCTACAACACATGTCTCAAGACACAAACCTGTTTCAAGCCTAGGAAGTTTCTGCAGCTGGTTGTGTCACACCATGCTTGACCAAAAGCTTAGTGAGCGACTCAGGCGAGTGGACATGGTACTTAACATTCCCTGATGGAGTCAGAAACACCTCAGCAAGCTCGAGCTTCTCAGATGTCAAGCTAGTACTGTCCATAGTCTTGCTCAAAACCTTGAGAGCGAGCTGAACAACCTCTTCCCTCGACGCATCATCCTTATAGTCTTGCTTAAGAATAGACTGAGCCGCTTGATTATTAGCTCCAACAGCTGCAGCTTTCCATCCACCGTAGTTCCCACTCGGGTCACTCATATACAGTTGAAACCCGTGGTTCTTGTCCCAACCTGCAAAGAGAAAAGAAACACCAAACGGACGTAGACCACCAAACTGTGTATACCCTTGTTTTGTGTCACATAGAGACTGAACCAGCTGCTCGACCGGCATTGGCTCTTGGTACATGAAAGTGTAACGCTGAGCTTGGACACGAGCGGTGTTGATCAGAATGTTGGCATCAGACATTATACCAGCCACTGCACAGGCCACATGGTCATCGATCTTGTACATTTTCTCAGTGGATGTAGAGGTTTGAAGAAGTTTTGAGGTGACTTTCTTCTCGCCGATCAACACAACTCCGTCTTTGGCCAAGATTCCGATTGCAGAGCCGGCGTTGCCAATGGCTTCCATAGCATACTCAACTTGGTAGAGACGACCTTCCGGTGAGAAGATCGTGGTGCGACTATCATACCTCCGAGACATTCTTGAAACAGCTGCACGCACAAAGAAGAAACACTCAAAAATGTATCAACGAAAGTTTCCATCTTTATTCATTTCAAAGATTATTGAAGCGCATTATAACAGATTCAAGAGAAAACCTCCTTCTTCTTACAAGCTAAAAGCTCTTTACATGGTTAAGCATAACTGCATAAGTCATTGTTCTGCACTTTCAATTTGTCAAGAAGACATACGAAGATAAGTCATACAAAGAAAGCTAGGGCACAGGTGAATCACTGGACACTGATTAAATGGAAAATCCATTAACTTACTCACTTTCCCAGTCTCAAATGGTCACAAAATATTCCACAGAAGGAATTGGGGAAAATTGCAACCTAGTGAACACGAGAACTAAGAATCGCGTCAAGCTAGGGTTTATCTAATGATCAAATCAAAGAAAGCTAAATAGTTACCCAGATTTGACAGGAGTCACTCGTGAGCAAAGACAATTCGATGGGAACAAATAATAAATCCATTCATAGAAACGAAACGGATGAATCGAATTTCGACGATGCTATGAACAAGAACAGCAGGAAAAGAAACGGATTCGATTGAAAATTAGTAAACAGTGAGAAAAGTACCTCAAGAAATTTTCCTCTTATCACTCTTCTCGGTTCTCGCTTGATTTTGCTGAGAACTTCTGCTTTACAAAACGAAATACTTGTTGCGAACTTGTTTGACAAGAAAAATAAAAGAAAACAAAAACCAAAACCAAAAAAAAACTTATTTCCTGGATTTCTCGATTTGGGCTCATTGCATTAGAACCCAATTACTAATAACTATAAAGCCCACAAGCTCGTTTCACGAATGCGCTGAACAGTCGATAGTTCGGTTCGGTTTGGAATTTTCGGTTTTAGATTAATTTTTCTCAAATAAGTTCCAAATAACCAAATTTCATAATAGTCAGGTTCGGTTTGGTTCGATTACTGGTTCAGTTTGGATCTAGCTCGGTTTTTGATACGAAAAATCAAAACATAAATAAACGTATTATTTAAATGTCGGTTGATTTGGTTCGGTTCCATATATACATTGGTTTGAATTCGTCTTTGGTTAACCCATTTGAGTTACAGTATTATAAAATTCGATTCAATTCGTTTTAATTTGATTTTTTTTCTTGGTTCTTTTTGTGATGCCTATGTTATCACAACGAAAAGATTATTATATATAGGGACATATCACATGGTATGTGAAAATCCCATTTTAGTAATTATGGTTCAAGACATTGCTTCTGTGTAATGATAGAAGCGACATATCACATTAGATGGTATATGTAATTATGTATTAGATTACTTGGTTGAACCAGTTGTTGTTTGGTTATCGAAGCTGGTTTATTTTGTGGTTACACACGTGTATACAAATTTACAAATTAACAAAGATAATAAAAAAATATTCTTTTTTTTAATAAAATGTTAAATTATATTCAAAAATAAAATAAATATTTTTACAACTTTAATTGAGAGCTTTCATCCTAAAAAATCATAAAATGTGAAAAGTAAACAGCTTCATTAGTGTTGCATCCTGGTACCAAACCAAGTCTGCAATCCATCTTGATAGTTCTTCCCTCCTTGCTTTTGAATTGTGTTTAGCCTGTTGCGGATCGTCACATCCAGTTTCTTGATCAAAGTTTCTGGCGATACTGGACTCTCTCCATGCTTTCTGCTGTTTCCCTCGCATCAAAATAGTGTACTGAAGCTTGGAAATCATACTTTATAATGAACTGTCTTGTATGTGTGGAGGTTGTACTTGAGGTGATCCGCAAAATGTCCAACCAGGTCCAAGTGTACTCAGTCTCCCTTACTCCTCTCATCAATGTTTCCCAGATCTTTCTCTTGTAGGGGCACTCGAAAAACAAATGTGCCCTGCTCTCCACTTCCTCATCACAGAAAATGCACCATGTTGCAGTCTTACTTCCAATGAGCCATCTGGTCACCTGTTGAAAGGCGATTATTTGCAACAAGCCATAGAATAAAAGAGAATTTGGGAGTAGCAAAAGAAAACCAAATAGCTTTGGATGGGTTCCACATTGCATTTGGATTTCTTATAAGTTCCCATGTCTCTTTAGAGCTGAATTTACCATGATATACACCATTCTTATGTTTCCATTGGTGTATATCATCTCTCGCCATGACTCTTAGCCTCTGCATCCCTTTGATTTCCTCTTCAACCTGGAGAAGTTTCCTGTCACGATGTCATCTTTGTCTGTTTCCGTTCATGACCTGGCCCAGAGTTGCATTAATAGGAATACCAAGATCAATACAGCCTCGTGAACCAAAGACCTCAAACAAACTCCCCATTGTACTCCATTTATCGAACCAAAAGGAGACTTTGTTTCCACTCTGTATTTCCACCCTGTATAGATCCTTTGCTTGATCTCTATACTTCAGTATCTTTTTCCATATCCAAGAACCAAGAGTTGTAGTGCTGTTTATAGCCCAGAAGGAGCTGTTGCGAATCAGGTTTCTTTGAATTCAATTATCCCACAGGGAGTTTTTTGCCGATAAAATACGCCAGATGAACTTTAGAATGCAGTCTCTATTCACTGATTCAAACGGTTTTAAACCCAGACCCCTTCCCTCTTTGGCATACAAACTCGTTTCCATGAGACCTTAGTTTTTTTGGCGTTTAACTCCTAACCTGACCATAGGAATGCTGCACATAGCTTATCTACTGCTGTGATACAAGCTTTTGGTAACCTGAAAGCTGCCATCCAGAAATTAGTCATGCTATGAATAATTTTTCTTTCATCATCGTCTTCTTCTTAGTTCTTTTTGGTGATCTTCAAGTTTGGATTATCGAGATTTGATAGGTCCGAATATCGATGATTTTATTTCGATGATTTATTTTATGTTTTCTGGTATAAATTTTATACAGAACTCTAAGAGTTGTATTTAAATGTTTTATTGTATGTAGCTGCTTTCGTATTACAGCATGATTTCTATTGCTTTTTACATGTTCTTTATACCTTGGGCTTTCGGATATCCGGTTCGGTTGTGGTTAAGAACCGAACAGTTTCGGGTATTTCGGTTATCAGGATGTAGGATCCAAATAGATACCGAATTGATTTCGGTTCGGTTCCGGTTCGGTACTTATCAGTTTCAGATTGGTTCGGGTATTGAAGGATAAGAACCGTAAAATACCGAAAATTTTTGGTTCTCAAACGGTTCGGTTCTTAGATACCCGAAATCTAAAAAAAACCGAATTGTTTAAAAAAAAAACCGAAATCTAAGTTTGATAACCGAAATGACCACAAAAATTACATAAACCAGATGTTCAAATCCATCGAAGCAGTTGGAGAAAGGGTTCAGAAGCAAGAGTAAAACATGAAATACATGAAGCAAAAGCAGAAGCACGAAGGTTTTAAAACATTTTCTACAGTAAAATAGAAATCTAAAAAAATTACTCTTGTGACCTGAAATTGCAAAAAAAAAAAACAGAAAGGAGTAAGGAGTAGACATTAGACTTATGAACAAAGCAGAAGTTAGCACACATACATCGACTCATTAACAAAGGAGAAGTGGAAAGAAAACCCCCAAATCAATTTCATATATATTAAACCCTAAATCGTTTTTCTAAATCAAGAGACTCAAGATACTCGATCATTCAAGACTAATTCGTAGTAAAAAACGAAAAAACAAAGAGGAAATGAAGTTGATTTCAAATTTAAACAACTGGAACAGAAAACCCCAAATCGATTTCAGATATAAAAACCCTAAAATGAAGTTCTATGAGAAGGAGATGGAGAAAAAGCTTAATTTCAGATAAATACGTGCTGTATATGTTTTTTTAATTTTTAATTTTGTGTCTCTGTGGATAATGGCCACAACAAGAATTGAAAACAAAAATTGATAATACTAATGGGCTGTCAATATATGTAAATGCCCAAAATCAGACCCAAACATAAACATTATTTTCGGTTATTCGGTTCGGTATTTTGGTTCTCGGGTAATATCCGGAACCGAACCGATATCCATGGATCCTAAATTTGAGATTCAATGGGTATTTAAGCAATAATCGAAACCGAACTGAACCAATAATTTCGGGTCAGTTCCGGTTCGATTTTTCGGTTCCGATTTTTATGCCCAGGGCTTGTTGGTATGCTATTTGTTCGTTGACATTAATTGTGGTCGGTAACATGCGCAAACGCAAATCAAATCTTTGCTTTAAAAATTAAAAGTAAAGAATTTCAGAGAAATTATGGGTTAGATGACAATTTTTCTGTGATATTGATGTAAGAATATTTATATTCTTATGTGACCTATGTGTCTTTCGGTTTAATTGTAAAGACCAAGTTCATATTAAAATTTAAGATTCTAATATAAAAGACGATACCGTGATGGATAGGTTTCGATTAAAGATATTAGAATCTGGGTGTATTGATAACCTTCATCCCTTACCTTATTAAATTATATGACTTTCTCATAATTAGTGTGTGTATTTGCACATTAAACATGGACAGTTATTATATGCATCAAACGTCCATGTATGAAAGGTTGCAATGGTTGGTCAAAGAGATGTGTGTTTCTTTATTATAAAAGAGACATCATATTAAGTGTTTTTAACAATAAGAAAATTTGAGAGAAACACACACCACCATACGTAAAGGAGAAAGAGTGAGAAAGGTTTGATTCCTTATCCATCAAAGGAATCATAAAGGCTTTGAGGTCTAAGGGAAAAAGAATCACTTGATGAATTGATTCCACAACAAGCCCAATCAAGCATGGATCAATGTTAGTCATTCATCTTTTACAAGTAATTACTGTGGTTGAATTAAATCAAATCTAGTAGGTCTTGGGAAGCAGATTTCATAATTGAAATCATTAAAGTAATTTACATGTGGTAGCAGAGCCATCCTAGATTAGTTTAATTCACCATGATTAGTAAAATTATGTTTTTATGGTGAAAAGATGATCGCATCCCCGTAATTGATTGTGATGATGCCATAGAATTTTAAAGCATCGCTGTAATAAATCTGTTTTCATGATCGCATGCATTCTGGGATCAAGAATAAATTGTTTAAACCACTGGTTTGGTTAGCGGTTTTCTAGATTCATATTATCGCATGAATCTGAATAGTTATGCATGCATGCATTCGTATTTAAAAAAGTTCTGGGTTTAAAAGTGACGGTTACTATATTTCTGATTTTCTGAAACGTCACAATTGAAAAGTAGAAGAGTAATTGTAACGCCTTAAGAAACAGTTGTTAAGAAATATTTGTTTCGCTAAGTTACCGCAACGTAAACGTACGGTTGCGTACTTGCGTGAATGAATTTAATAATTAAGGATATATGGATTATGGTAATATTGCATGAGTTTGACTTCATATATACAGTAAAAACTCTATAAATTAATAATGTTGGGACTTTGATATTTTATTAATTTATAGATTTTAAATAAAAAAATATTTTTTATTTTTTATCAATTTTGAAAGAGATTTTTTTAAAAAATTATAATCTTTAAATAATTATTTCTAATATTAAAGATGATTTCTAAGAAAATTTTAAGTTAAAATAAATAAAATCATCACTAAACTTATATTTTAATAAATTATTTTATTTATATGTTTATGTCAAAATTTATTTATGGTAATTATTAATTTATGATATTAATGAGACCATATATTTACATAGAAGTTTTGCTAAAATTATTATTTTATTATCTTATCGAATTGAGTTAT